AATTTCTTCTGCAAGAAGGATGAGCAGCTGTGTCTAGTCTGTCTATAATAGTTCACGTGCCTCCTGTTTCTGCTGGTGGGTAAACCTCTGTGGATACTGCTGCAGAGATTTTGTAGGACATCAGTGTTAACCTCTTCCTCACTTCTTTTTTAACCTCCTCTTGTTAAGAAGACTAAGTAGCTACTTCCAATAAAAGTAAGCTGGTGTAAACCGACAGGAATTCAGCAGGCTCTTAACAGTTTGCTCCTCTGACTTTTCCTTGCAGCTCACAACTCTTCATGCATGGTTATATAAGTAAGAGGAGCAAGCTCTGCAGTGTTAAGGGCAAAATGATCAACTGACAAGAATGTGAAATAAGGTTGTGTTCAAAGGAAACTTGTAAAAGTTAGTGTACAAAATGGAAATTACACCCCAAAGCATTTATTTCTATGCAAAGTAATATGGATTTCCAGCAGTAGGTGTCTTGGATGATTGTAAATCTGGGAATCTTGGTGGTGTTTTTGACTGCAGCTGGTGTAAGCTAGGGATCAAAGGTCTGCTCACCTTTGTTATCCTGCAGTGTGTTTCCATTAGAAGACTGGTAGTGGCAGCTTTCAAAGGTCACATTTGCTTGGGCAGCCCTGGTTTTCCTGCTTCCTCGGTGTATGGCTGCAATGTGTATCACCAGATCTCACAGTGGTTGAGGTTGGAAGGCACTTGAGGAGGTTGTCTTGTACACTTGGGCACTCTCACAATAAAGAAATTTCCCTGATATTCATGGGGAGCCTTGTGTGTTTCAGCTTGGTAATTTTAATAGGATAGACAACCATTGTTAAGAAAAGGGGCTGCAGTGTGTCTGCTGCTGCACTGTGGGATAAAGGACCTTTTGAGTCCTTTGCATGCAGGCTGTTTTTTTGGTGAAATGATTGCACTTTCATGAACACTGACATTTTGGTCTAATTTCCTCAAGATGTACTTGTGCTACACTTTGAGTTCAGCTGTTTGTGTTCAAGTTGCATCTTTGAATCATTAGCGTTTGGGCAGTGGTTTGTGGAAGTTTTCCAACTAGAGGCTTCTTATAAACAGCTCTGTCTCCTGCCAATAACAGACTTGGTCTCTCTCCCATTCCCCAAGAAAGGTAATGTTCAGATAAGCAGGAGTACATTAACACATTTCCTCTCTCTGGACACTGCCTGCCTACTATCTTGGTGAATCTGGGTGTAGACACTACAGAAATTGATGGGATTTTGCTTCTAAAAACTCCTCCAAACCTGTGTGGGTTTTTCAAAGCTCCAGCATTAATCTGGGATCTACTTAATTCTGCAAGAATACAAGGCACAAGCAAGGCAACTGTATTGGAACTGTGGAGTTCACTTTAAAAATACAACCATTAGAAGAAGTCTGGGAATGAACATGGTGAAACCTCTGGGCTCTGATCCTGTGTTCATACTTGTGGAAGTGGATCGCTTACAGACTTTGTTGATAGAGATCTAGAAAGTTGCATAAATCTTCCCTGTTGGGTCAGGCTGGGGGATTAGGATCACAGTTTTCAGAAATGCTTTTGTGCAGAACTCTGAAAAATGCCAAAATGTTCTGGTAGCATCACAAACTTACTGGTTAGTTTTTTGGAGTATCATCCTCCTTACGGAAGGAGGATGAAAAGGGATGAATCTGTGAGTTAAATAATCCAAGGGTAGATTTAGTCATTGCAATTCTTACATACCTTTGAGAATACAGGAAGACTTTTGCTGCTCAAATGCTAAACAACTTTTCAGCAGTGGAGAGGAAATAATACATTTTTGCTGAAGTTTTACTGCAGTGAGTTACTGCCGAATAGAATGGAATTGTTTAAAGTATTAGGAGTCTTTGCTTTGTTAGAAAACACTGCTGCAAACAAGCTGGCTATGCTGGATCTTTTTTGGAAGATAGTGCTCTTCTAACTTGACATGCTAGAACTTAAGCAAACCTGTTCCCATGAAACCTCTCGGATGTTAATCTAAGTCAGTAGCAGAACAGGAAGCTGCACTGAAAAGCAGAGTCCTTCATGCTTAATCCTAAAAGGTAATAACATAATTTTGTAATACTTTTTCAAGCATTTCTGTATATTTATCCCATGGAGATGTATAATTCTTAAAATTACCTTTTATGGACCTTTCTTGTGCTTCCAGAGCAGCTTGTGGTGTGTCAGTTGTTAAGTGGCAGAAAGTTCTGTGTTCACGTTTGTACTCAGTGAGTTTGGAGCAAATAATGTTTCAATCATTCCTTCATATTTTTTATAGCATTTGGATTAAAAGTAGAAGAATTAAACACTTAGCCATTTCCTGACCAGATCTGAGTTATCAGATGTGCTGCTTTATCTGTAGAATACAGAGATGTGCACTGTGCCCACCCCAGAAAGAGCAGTGCTGTAATACCTCTGCAAACCAGCGCCCCATGCTCTGCCTGGTTTACACAGATCATACCTTTTTAAAATACAGCAAGCAATTAAATTGCTGTTGAGATAAAAAGGACGTGTAGGCTGAGAGATTTTTGATTAGCAAGGGGAGAAAATGGCATTGAGAAGTGTTGGTTTGAGCCTGTGCTTTGTTTGAAAACAAAACCTCATTTTTTTGAAAGGAAGGCTGAAAAGCTTTTACTTGGATTGCTCTCTGCAAATGTAGATGGTTGCCTTCATTATCAGTAAAAGTAAAATTGCTAGTTCAGGAAGGCTTTAGAAAAATAATTTCCCTGAAGAGGCACCAATGTAGCAAATGCAAATTAAACCCAAAATTACTGACCTTTCAATATTACACGTAGCAGATTGAGCAGAAAGCATGGAGGGACATGCGACATTCCATCTGCCATTCCTCTGCTACTTTGGGGCTTTGCTTTTGGGAGATAGAGCTAAGAATTTGTGACTGTGTTTGTGATGTTTTGGTTTCAGATATACAGTGACATGCCTCAGTTTTGGGTTCATGCAGTTTCATAGGCCAGTGGATCTGGTATCAGAATAGTGGGAAAAGGAGTGATATTTATAATAAAAATCTTTGTGTTTCACCAGAACTCCAAAAGATGAGCAGGATGGAGTATCAACGTGTCTTGTTTTGGGTTTGTCCAGCAGCCCATTCCCTCCCAAGGCAGTGAATGGCTTATCTGTGTTAGGAGCTGTACTTTTGTTTCTAATGCCTAGAAGACTTGGTATTTTGAAAACATATGTAAAAATATACTTGTAATTCAAAAGGTTCTGCTAATAATTGTTTGGTTACAGTCAAATATAGTCTGCGGTATCTTTCCTCTCTTCACTTAGTTTGTTTTGGGTGGAAGGGGAGGGAGAGGTAGACTAAGGTTGGCCATGATTTTCCTCTACCCTGTCATACCCTTATTCTTTACTCTTTTACTACTTTCAGCTCTTATTTTCATGGCTACTCTGACGATATTGGTAGACTTGGGGATATTTTCTTTTTCCACAGTAATTCTGGGAATAACAGCTCCCCCCCCTTAAGCCTTTTCCTTTAGATGTAAAATGCTAGATCAGTTCCTCATTTTGTATAAACTAAACCAAGCTTAGCTTCAAACATTGCTTTTCAGAGTTGGCTTTTGAAACTTGGCTGAATCACAAACTTTAAGCAATACTGACATCTGATATTTTTTGGTACACTTGCAATCTCAGTATAAAGCTTCATATTTCAAAGCACCTTTGCGTTGGTAAAGCACAATTGTACTATGATTCACGCTGAGTGCTAGGTAGAGCTTTGCTGTTATATTGAGACTGTTTCTGTAAGAGTTTCTCTCCTCTGAATTTTTATTTCGTGTGTTCGCTGAAATGTATAGCGCCTGAATAACAGATCAAGTAGGTGCTTAGTGCTTGATGCATTTCCTTTAGAAAGTTATTTAACTGTATTTGTGCACAGAGAAAATGTTCAATGCAGATGTTAATTTTGGACTTCTGTGAGGGTTTTTCATTGGCACCTATACTTATTTAAATTTTAGGCACAATATTGTCAGTAGTAATTCTTTGGCTATTAGTACCTGGTTAGCTCAAGCAGGTGGCTAAGTTTGCTAAGTCTGTGTCAGGCATTATCATCTTTTATTGTTCAGGTTGATTTGATGAAGCAGATCACCACTGTAATATAGTTTATGAGGTGATAAATAACATGTTAATATGGGATGAGAGTTAACCATCTATCATTGTTAACACTGTGGAGGAAGAGCAGGGAAGAGACTCATTGCCACGATTACTTGGCTTTCCACCTGCACAGGCTCTGGAATTGGGATATGTGGATATGCAGCTCTGACGGAAAAAAAGCATTGAACTTCTACATATTATTTTTGTAACTATTTCTTGAAATCCCTACTAGTTTTATAAATACTGTTTTGATAAAGTTTGAGAAACCTTGTAACAGCAGGTCAAAAGAGATAATCCTTCCCCTCTGCTCTTGTGAGACCCACCTGGAATATTGCACACAGTTCTGGTGTCCTCAACATAAGAAGGACATGGAACTGTTGGAGCAAGTCCAGAGGAGACCACAAAGTTGCTTAGAGGACCGGAGCATCTCCCCTGTGAGGACAGGCTGAGGGAGTTGGGGCTGTTCAGCCTGGAGAAGAGAAGGTTGTGTGGAGACCTCAGAGCAACTTTTCAGTATCCGAAGGGCCTACAAGGAGCCAGAGAGGGACTCTGTGTTTGGAACTGCAGTGACAGGACAAGGGGTAATGGGTTCAAACTGGAGAAGGGAAGTTTAGATATTAGAAAAATGTTTTTTCCTGTGAGGGTGGTGAGACACTGGCCCAGGTTGCCCAGGGAGGCTGTGGCTGCCCCAACCCTGGCAGTATTCAAAGCCAGGCTGGATGAGCCTTGAGCAACCTGCTCTGGTGGGAGGTGTCCCTGCCCAGGGCAGGGGATTGGGACTGGATGATCTGTAAGGTCCATTCCAACCCTTAAATTCTATGATTCTATGATAATGTAATCAACAAGATGTGGAATAAGCAATTGCTTTCTATTCTTTTTTGATTCTAAACAATAACATGTTGTTTTATTTTTACAGATGACTATGGATGAGAAATATGTGAACAGCATTTGGGATCTTCTGAAAAATGCAATCCAGGAGATCCAGCGTAAGAACAATAGCGGCCTCAGTTTTGAGGAGCTGTATAGGAATGCATATACAATGGTGTTGCACAAACATGGGGAGAAACTCTACACTGGACTAAGAGAAGTGGTCACTGAGCATCTAATAAATAAGGTTTGTCATTTTATGAATCAGTGGAAGTGTCTTACATGAAAGAATTCTGAACAGTTATTTATATGACAAAAATATCTAACTATCATGTTGTCTTGTGTGGAAATTGTGTAATTTCTCTCAAAAATGCCTAGAGCTAACAGCAAACTCAAATGACTTCATGTTCCAGGTACTGTTTGTTGTAAATTACTGATGGAGAGCAGACAATAGGAAGTATTTGAACATGTGTATCAGGAAACAACTTTTGCTGAAGAATAACTGTTGAGAGCTGGGAAGTTTTTTTTAATGGCATTTTGTGACTTTCTTAGGCCAAATTTTGGTTTGTTTTCCAGTCATATTTTTCATCTGTGGAACAAAATAAATACCAGTGTGAGAACCTGTTTGTTATGGGCTAATGAACTAATTCAAAAGTTAATGAGAGAGTTGTGCTTGGATTACACTATTTAAAGAGGCAGTAGGCAGTGTTAAAAAGCATCAGCTCAGCAACAACAAAAGTCCTGAGCAGTCTGCATTCTATCACTTCAGCCTTTGCAAAACCATGTAATTCAGTCAAAATGACATGCAGAAACTTCTTTCTGAAGATGTATCCTCTGAGAAGAGGACACTTTAGATCTCATGTGAAACTATGGACCACCTCTTCAGTCTGAGAGAAGTTTAGAGTTGATTGATAAGTATGTCAGTGAAAAATTTTAAAACTCACTTTTCAGGAGTCCAGACAGTATTTAGGGTGATAGGATTCTATATCTAGGGCAGATGCCTGCCTTACTCCTTGTGGTAGCATCCATAGCTGCCTGTCTTTGAAGAGAGAAGTTTGTCCACTTTGATCCCATCTACTGGCTGTGGGTCCAGATGGAGTATCAGATTTTTGTCCTGTTTTTCCAACGTCTGAAAAGCAAAGTCATACACCCTCATGTGTCTTGGGTCATTACTTCTGGCTGAGCTACAGAGAATGGATGAGAGGTTTATGTCTAGATAATGCAGAATGCTTGGCAAGATTTCTGTGTGTTCCAACTAGAGTTACTGCTGTGGCAGAGAAATGTGTTACTTCCTTTCTAGAACCTTAGTTTTCAAAGGTGTGGGCTGGACAAGTATCGTCAAAAACTACTTTGAATATGGGACTTTTTTTACTGTTGGCACGAGAGGAAAGTTCCTGTATGAAGTGACTAAATGATTTATGACTTTATTCTATAACTAGCACATCTGTGACTCTCAGACACTTCTGTTTTCATAATCTCTGCATTTGTAATCTTTACTGTTCATATAAAATGTGGCAAATTGCTGAGGCTTTTTCTGCCTTGTTCTTGTATGTGCCTGTATTTATAGGCTATACTTACTAATAGTCATGACCCTAAACTTTTATTTTTCCTAGGCTTCAGTTTATACTGGTTTAATTTGAGGAAAGTTTCTTATCTTTGTTCCTAGGTATTCTGCAACTTATCTTTGTTCCCAGCTATTTTGCATATTTAAAATTATCCATGTGCAAAATAAAAAAATTAAAAAAATGTGACTTCTGCTATAAATTTCTGAACAATAAAGAAAACTTCACTAGGCTCAAAGCTACTCCTTGTCCCCTTTGAATGTTTGCTTAGGGATATTATGTTGAGGCAGTTACAGATGCAAGTATGGAAAAAATAGTGCATTGTTTATTGAGAATGGAATCAGTTCTATAGTGACATCTTATGTTTGTGCCATTAGTACTTGTTGTAAGATGGATAAAAAGAAAGTTTTGTTTAACCTCATGCTTTGTCACTGGTGTTGGAGAGAAATCTTTTATGTTCACTGTCTCTTTCCAAGAGCAGTTCGCTGTTAAATTTCAAGTAGCTAATAGACAATAAATGTTTTCATCACAAGTCTTTGGAAACTTCTACTCAGAGAATCAATGGTGGGTGCTAGAAGTGTGAAGAGGGGGATTTTGCCAACTGAAAAGTTTTTCATTAGCTTTTTTAACTTTGATAAAAGATGTGCAGAAATGAGTTGAAGAACCACACTCCGTTCAGGGAGTGCTGCCGAGGAGCCAAACCCAGACTGGAAATTGCTGGAGTCCTTGGAACATAATTGCCATTTACCGTCCACATCTGTGGGTTATCTTTTTACAAAGTAGCTGCATTCCTGTGGTGTTCCAGTCATGCTGGCTCATTAAGAATACATGAAGATACTAGGTAGAGGAAATGGGTATGTTCAGATGTTTTTACAAATAGTTTTAAAGCTTGAAAAGTGCAAGGTTTTATTTTTGGTGAGGCATGGTCAAGAACATAAGTATAATTCTTTGTTGGCCAAGCCCAATACTGTCTTGTTGCTTTTTCTGTGCAGTCTGTGTCAGAGATTCAGAGATGTAAAGGACTGTCCTAAACATAAATGGACTTACTGGTTTGGGGAGATACTACAGCATTTCTGAAAAGAAAAAGATGCTTGGGATAGTCTCATGTCCTATAAGATTTCTTGCTCTTAGCAAACATTTCTGTTGCTGCCATGCCACAATGCCTTAGGACCTGGTGGTCTTTGATGCAGCTGCTGGAGTTCAGTAGTGCCAGTACATGGTATTTCAGAACAAGAATCAAGGCAGACATGCAAGAAAGCCTTGGGTAAGGAGAGCAGAGAGCTGGTCGTTGTGGCAGGACAAGGCATGGTGTGGCATGCTGGTGTAGGTGTGGGCTGAAGGAAGGTGTCTGCTCTGGGACTTTGAAAGTTACATCTGGGATCCTTTGCAGGGTTTCAAATTTGCTGTTGTGGTGTTGCAGAGAGAAGGGGAGAGGGAAGATAGGCATCTCCTACAGGGAGTTTGAAATTGTTTCCATAACATCAATGAAATAGGGAGGAATGACATGAGGAGTTGTGTAGGAGGCAAATTACCTAGTGAGCGTTAGAGTGTGCTGTAAGCCTGACTGACAATGGATGAAGTGTTATTTGCCTTTATATTTTCTTAATTATGTTTTCAGATGATCTTGTGCAAGTCTGCTATTATACAGAGGGCAAAAGGATGTGAGGGAATTGCCAGAAAGTAAATAACAGTTCAGAATCATCAGTACTATTCAGTGTTGTTTTTTTCTTTCAGCAATAGGGTAGGAGCTGCTGGGAAGGTCATAGTTAATGTTAGCTTAGTTGGTACTCTTAAAATATTTGCGGGTTTTTTTGTACCAGGTGAAGAAACTCCATACTAAAAGTTCTGAGACCTTTAGGCCTTAGAAAGTGCTGTTCTGTTCTGCTGCTCCTCACATAAGGTTCTGGCTGTCCTTACAGTAGTGGAAATTACATAATTGAACTATTTGTGCTGCCACATCAGACCAGGCAGTGCAAGAGAGAAAATACTAGGCCATAAGTCTGCTTTGTGTACACTAAATAAAGAGTTATTTAAAGGTATTGAGAGCTTACGCCAACAAACTATTCTTAAGAGATTGGGGGTGAGGGTGCTCTATTTCCTTAGGAGCTGTATTCAGTATAAAAAACAGTTGAGCCTGAAGTTATACACAAGATTTCATCCTTGCAAATATAAGAAGACCCTGCATGGATTATGAAGCTGCTATTTTCAAATCTGCATATGGACAGTCCCATTTAAGCTGACATCCCCTGCCAATTTACTGCAGAACTGCTGAGATGGTCATAGAAATCACTACAAGCTTAGCTAATTAAAAGTAACATTCTGCTGATAAAAATCTTTGAGATTGAATTTTTCTTAAGGCTTTGGAAGAGTAGCAGCTGTGTCTCTGAAGGGCCTTCTCCTCTTACAGAACAGTAGATATCCTGGGTTTTTTGCTTCAAATAATTGATTCTACCAAAGTAATTTGACTCTGTGCCTTGGCATGGCTAAGGTGGTTTGTGCATTATAGTCGTTTTCCTGTGATATTTTTGTACTCATGGCCCATACAAGGAATGTGTTGAACACTTACTAACTCGAAGTTATCATAAGCAATAATTTGATAGGCTTTTGTAGCAACTCAGCAGCTTACCAAGCCTCTCTGGAGCCTAAAATAAACCTAGAAAAGGCCATTGAGAGGCTTCACAGGGGGACTCAAAGTCGTTTTGTTGTACAGCACCCGTTCCTGAACTTAAAACACATTTCCAGAAAGCCCCACAGCATCCTGTGTGGAGCAGAGGTGGCACAGATTGGAACGTTCTGGTGTCTGCTGGGAAACAAGTTGCCACTGCTACCTGTTGGCAAGTATGCCCTTCTGCCACCAGTTGGTATGTGGTTTGGCACTGGCTGGCCCAGTGCAGTTAGTGTGATGGATATGTGTAAGTATAAAGGCACACTGCCTCTGTGTTGTTAGAAAAAAGTGTCACAAAATGGATCAATTCCTACCCTGGTTATCTGTGCTTACGAGCTAATCATGCTTTGGTTAATTTTAGTAGTGTGGATGATCTACCACATGATTTTTCTATACTGGCCAAAGAAAAACCAACTATGTCATGTTTGTTTCTCTTGTTCTGGGAGATTCTGCACACTCTTCGCAAGTATGTGGTGAAGTTCTTAATGCATATTTATGTTTGGGATGAAAACTACGGAAGTTGGATGACAACAGAGAACACATTTGGGACCAAAGGGTAAATGATGATTAGGATCACAAATAATGAGGCAGCTAAGCAGTGCTTTTAACTGCATATTATGTTTTCCAAAAGCAAGGGGGAGAGGCCTTGCTCAGCTCTCTGGAGTAGGTGTTTGAAGGTTTCAGAAAGCTTTGAACAACCTCCAAGCATACCAATATTGCCTGGGTTCAGGAACAAGATGAATTTATTGGGATAAGTTTCCAGAACTTCTTGAGAAGTGACCATTGTGTTCCTGTGATGTGCCAAGCTCTGTCTCTGGTTTGCTCATGGGGTGTATATAGTAGTGTGGCAGATTGAATGTTTTGTTATGCTGGTTTGGCCTAATAACTTCATAAAACTTCAGTGACAGGATGAAGTCTGTCAGGTGGTTGCATGTGATGTTGGTGCAGCTTGTGGCTGCTTGGCCTCCCTGGTTTGTTTTCTTGTTTGATTTCTCTGGACTGAAACTTACGTTATCACCCGAGTAAAAATGCATATCTATAAATGTGAGAATGTATTGTATCCAAATGGAATGTATGCTGCATGTTATGTCAAAAGTTGATTCCCACATTTTCTTAACTCTGGAATAACTTTTTTTACATCCCCACAGGTTTCTCTTTTACGTGAGTTAAAGCTTGAGCACTGTAGCGTATGCCTACTGCATAGGATCAAAATATGAAACTGGATGGTTTTTATTAGTAGGGAAGGGAGTAGTAGTGGTAGAGACACATAAAGTCTGAAGTTGATGAGTCAGGTGAATCAACTAGCAAATACATTTGTAAAAAACCAAGATGACTTCTCATTTTTCTGTGGAGTCTTGTTGGCAGGTATGGACTTCGGTTCAGAGTCTGGGCTTTACCAAGCTGTTGTTTCCTTTCAGAACTGTTGTTTGCTGTATGCTGTGTATGTGTGTGTACTTCACCTGTACTTGTTCCTGTTTGGAACATTTACTGCTATTATCTAATATTCTGAAATTACTTGTGATAGTAAAGTTGCTATTAATTGAAACACTAGGATATAGCAAATAAAACGTTTGAGGAGTTGTAAATAATATATTTTTAACAGTTGTGATTTTGAGAATTCCTTTGAAATGTAATACCTGTGTTTATTTTGTTGCACTTGTTCTTAGCCTGATTTTTCTTACTTGTGTGAAGTCTTATTTTTCCATAGAAGGGAAATACCAGGTAGGGATGGATGGTCAGCACCCAGGAAAAGCAAGAACTTGTCTGCAGTATTCAGGTTCATAGTGGAGCAAGAGTTTTTGTTCTGAAGCTAAGTTTGTTAAGATTTAAATGCTGCTGGAGAAACTGACTTGAGTTTATGGTAACATAGTATGTTTTTGCTTCAGGTGCGAGAAGATGTGTTAAACTCCTTGAATAACAACTTTCTGCAAACACTAAACCAGGCGTGGAATGATCATCAAACGGCAATGGTGATGATTAGAGACATCCTGATGTATATGGTGGGTATTCTGCTATTTCACACATTTAGTAGTGCAGTCAATTGTCCTTTGACAAATCCAAACAGATAAAGGGGGGGGGGGGTAAAAAGCAAGGCAAGCTCACCAGCCTTTTTCCTAAGACTGCTCTTTGTTGCCTGTTTTGAATTCTGTGTTTGCTTGCCAGGCTATTACAGGTGTTGGACAAATTGTAATTGGAGTCTTCTTTAAGGTTATCTCATTATCACTTGGAAAAATTAATCTGAAAAATGGTTGAACTTGGCAATTCTGAAAGAATAAGCTAGTCAGACTCATCGTGGGAGGTTACAGGTGTTACTGCATGTTGTGTTCACATAGTGGTGATTTACTGTGTGTTTTACACCATGATGGTGTAAAGCCTCCTCAAACTACCAATGTAGCTGCTCTATGAGCTTAAGGATTCGAAGAGGATAACTTTGCTTAGGTGCAGTGTGTGTCCTTGAGTGATGAATAGAGTCCTTTGCTGTTCATATAGACCTCGGGTCCAAGATTCAGCAGTGGACATAGATGAAAATGTGATCCAGAGCCAACAGAAAAGGCTTTTCTTTTTTTATTTTAAGATAAAGGGCCTGATATTTTCGTGTCTGGATTGTGTTATGCTTTAGGTAGTTGGTGTATTTTTAAAATCCTGTAATGGTGGGTGTGCTCTGGGATGTAGGAGAGTGTTTTTGCTTAGCTTCTAGCCAAAGGCTTTAACTTCAGAAGGAAGAGAAATGTGTTGAGATGCTGTGGGTTTTGATATAAAATCATTTTTTTCCAAAAATCATACTAAAGGCAGTACTTTATGCAGTATTAGACAGTGAAGGGCAGATAATTATGGCATTTTTTGGTCAAAAAAAGCAATTAACTGGGATTATACTCCTCTCTGCTGAACAATTGGAGTTGATCTTACTTTGTACCTGTTAAAGATCTCACACTGTGACATTAGCCATGTTTGTATTTGCTGTGAAACCTTCTTTAGTTAATAAGCTACTAAAAGTTAAACAATTTAGAGTAATTAATAATTTTTAATGGATTTAATGGCTCTTATTTTGTGCGGGGGTTGATGGGGTTTATTTCAGTTGGGACAAGATCACACATTAAATGGCAGAGGGCTGGATAAAATGCCTTCATTGCCAAAAGATGGAGAGATTATATTGTAGATGTACTGTCTTTGCCATGACAAATCCTGAAATCTCTAATCTGTTTCTGAAGGACAAATACAAATCAGTCTCTGCTAGCTGCATCCAGGCAAATTCAAGAATAGATTAATCTGCCCAAACTAGTGGTGAATGTTCAGAAATGTTAGAAGATGGAATCCAGAGCTTTCCAGGGGAGTAGGTGTTGTGTATTAGCCAAATATTATGTATTATTTCACTACAGAAGGCGTTGGATGCTCCAAGGTAATGGATAGTGCATGTTATCTGCTGCTCTTAAAATCAATACATTTTTGATCCTTAAAGCAGTGTCAGCTTTACCTGTTTCAGTGTGTTGACCGGTATATTAAGGACCAAGAGGTTCCCTCTTTGAGGAAAGGTTTCATGCTTCAGTCAGTACATCTGCGGGGAAAGGAGAGCTGTTTGCTAAGTATTTTTTGCACTCAGGAGAGCAAGGCCTTGGCTTTGTTTGGAGCTTGTGTGTGCTGTTCTAACATCCAGCCAACATTCTCTTTTCCACCAAAATTTCAGGAGATGGAAACCTGCAGCATTCCTACAAGTGCAAATTGAACTTCATGGTTTTATTTTACAATTCAAAACAGATTAATAAATCATCTTGAAAACCTCTGTATTTTATAACTATTTTTTTCTTGCAAAATCTTCATATAATCTTGTCAAACTTCAGCAATGCTGATGTCTGTTTGTTAAAATTCTGTAATGGAATGTGGGGTTTTATAATAATAAATGTAGTTTTTATTGGAAAGCACTGTCTAATGTGAGGTGCTGATAGACTGGGCAAACACCTTCCTTTTCTTTGACCTGGAGGGACATAAGACAAATTGTCATTAGAAAACAGATGCTTTGATTACAAATTGAAGTACATGCTATGGTTAAAAACAAGACTAGTTTCAAAGATTTTCAGTTTCACCTTTGTGACTGGGATGTTCTCTGGAGTCAGACAAAATTTTCTTGATTGGAAAGAGTAAAACTAGGAAATTTCCAGTCTCAGCTATGTTTCATTCCAAAAGTTTGGAAAAGCTGCTAGTGCCACAAAATTAGAGAGTGAAGGAACATCTGACAGAGATGAGATCTGACTTCTCTTCAAAGAAGTGGGGTTTGTGCATTGTGATACTTCCTGACCAGAACTGGGGTTTATGACAGGGTTTCGCTGTATGTGCACAACCTCTTCTACAAGACACTCATAAATCTTGCCTTATAGTTTTGTTTTTAAAAATGTGGTTTACCTTGTCTCTTGTGCTGTGATGACTCTCTGGTAAAAGTCTGTTGTTTTCAGGTCTGTTGCAGATGTAGCCTGAGATTTTTGCAACCTTTTGGCTTTTTTGAGACACTCCAATTTCCACAATTGAATTTCAAGTTTGTGTAGTTCCACTGTGTAGGTTACAACACTTCCTACTGTTTTACATGCCTAGGCTACTGTAATCAGTGCCAGAGGAGATGTATTACTCTCCATAAATTCATAGCAGTGTCTGCAGTGAGCAGTGAGGTACCAAAGCAGTAAGGTCATGTCCTAAGTAGCATCTTTGCTCAGTCAGGTCGTGTACTGAGACATGTTGAAGTAGTGAAGTAATGCACTGCTTTTGGCAGATGTGAAATTCTGCCTCACTTACAGTGGCAGCATAGGTAGGTGCCTACAGTGGAGGTTATTTGGCAGCTGTGTGTTATGGTAGCAGTGGAGCTGTAGTTGTTTGGTCTTTTCTTTAAGCAACATGAGTGTGAGTATTCTGGGAATGTCTTATGGAAACTGAGCTCAGCTGGTTCTGTGGTGTCTCTTCTTTGCTACTTGTACTTGCTAGATTTAAAGCAATTTCAGGTATGCAAGCTCAGCAGACACACCCCTGGGTGCATTACAGGCACATGGTTAGTGCCAGCTACACACTGCATTTACAGCTGTGTGTTTTCAGAGGGCACAGCATTCCCTTCTCCTCTGTGCTGTGCACAAAGCTGGTGCAGCACTGACAGATTGGATATGTGAGTTTTGACCTTAGGGCATGTGATTCTCATTGCTCATGGGTTACACACAAGGTAGTAGGGAGAAGTGCTTTTATTTCCACAACTAGAATCAAAGACACTGACTGTACATTGATACACAGTGGTGGCTGAAGGCTGCACCATTCAGGTAGTGCATCTGTGTAGTGATGGTCAAAGTGTGGCTGGGGATATCTTAACAGTAGGTAACCTTAGTTCAGATCAGAATTGTTTGGCAGTGTAAGCAGACTGGAGTTTATTCATAATTGCTGTCTGAAACTCCACTCTTGTGTCCCCAAAGTTACTCTCACCTTTAAGCAGCTACTGCTTCTCCCAGTGGGAAGTGATTGCTGTTCAGTGCTGTGTAGCCTTGTCAGTCAATCCTGTTCCAAATGAGGCTTTCTCTCTCTGATTTATTTTTTTTTTTGACATTGGAAGAGCTTCCAGTAAAAGTGATCTGTTACCAAGGGTGAGCAAATCAGCAGCATGAGAAGCACTGGTGCTGCTGCTCTGATTTAGCACTGTAGGGTGGTCTGGCTCATTACAGAGCTGTGCTCATGCATTGAGAGGAGTTCCTCGTGCAGCTACTATGTCATAATGGCAATGTTTAGCACTGCCACAACAGAAGCTGTGCAGGTGAGTCATGCCCATGGCTTTAATCCTTTGAGATACCCTGCTGCCCGTGCTTTAGAGGTCTGAATATTTTGTTAGAAATAATAAATATACTCTTAAGTAATATAATAAATTAGACACTACTTGTAATTTGCTCTTTTATCTTTAGTGTATTTTAAGCTTGTCTTGAGAAGCACATTTACTTCTGTTCATGCTGCAAGTGTGTAAATAAGGAAGTGAAATAAACAATCTTGTTTCTAAATAGCAGGCAAAAAAAGTAACATTTTCCAGAGACCTAGACTGACTTCATGAGCCCAATTAGTAAATGTTCTGCTTTGAGGCAGAGCTGAGTTTGCTTCACAAGCCACTGAGTAGGCATATCTGACCTGTTCCTATCTTGTTTTTTCATTTAAATTAAGTGCTGCCTGTCTGAAAGGAGAGAGTGGGAAATCATTCATTAGCTGTGGGAACTCAGTGTTTTGCTTTCCTCTGGTCACCAAGTGGCAATCTGGCATGTAATTAGTATAGGAATAATTTTGCCATGTAAATTCAGCTCCTAAATTGTGTGCTGTCTGTTCCTTCTGATTTTTTTTGTAACTGCAGTGTTTATATAAACTTGCAGTTTTGTAATCTTTTTTACCGTAGTCTGAAGCATAACATTTGGTCTTTCATGAGTTTCATTTTTTAGGTGTTTGAGTAGCTTTACTCTTCAATTCTGGGTGTGATAAAGCACTTAAGATAGTTAATAGAACGGGTGGAGAAGCTGATCTTGATACTCAATTTCAAACTTTAACCTCCATACTTTATAGAATGTGCTGGGGGTTTTTTTTAATTTCTATTTTGTTACAGCTATGTCCATTCTTAGAAAACCTTACCCCAGTCAGATTTGTGAGTGGGTACAAAACTCCTAACTTTCTCTGATATCATTCTCCTGATGCTTAAATGGCAGCAAAGCAGTAATTGTAGTAAGTACTCAAACGATACATTAGAGTAATAGATTATGCCCTTACAGAAATGAAGAAAAATAATAATTGTTCATCTCAGAAAAAGGCTGTAAAAACTTTTCCTGTTCTTAAAGTTGTTTGAAATGATCTTACCTGGTACAGCACTAGTGGATATTAAGTGAACACATGCATTTTCAGTCTGCTAGTAACTTTATTTACAGCCTTCCTTTTCTAGAACATTGGGAGAGAGGAGTAGGAAAGGGTGTACAAATTTTTGGAGCATTTCTGTGGGGCAGCAAGAAATTCAGGGGGTTTGCTCAACAGTGTCTCAGTCAGCTCTGTATGATGGGTTTTGGTCTCTGTGGGTTTGGAATGCTAATCTGAGGATCAGTGTTCGTTTGTAAATGTAGGTAGATAAAAAAAGTGGATAGTTTCCTATAGATTCTTCCTATAGACTGAGATTATGCAGAGAGATAGAATTTAACCCACATTGAAACATAAAAAGTGTTCTTTCTTCTCTCCGCACTCCTTTTTGGGGGTTTGTTTGTACATGTGTGATTATAACAAACCATAGCAAGGTTTCAAAATACTTGCTCAGGTTAAATGAAAGTGATTTTTTTCAGGAAAGTGGAGTGTCACCTGAAGTCCTTATGTACAATTTTGCAGTATCAATCCATAAACATTTTGATTGTAACTCTTCTCATTTTGCCTTTACTTTTTCTTCTGTTCATCTAATCATGCAATTTCAGGAAATGTGAGCAAATATTGAGGGTGAACTCTGCCTAAAAGGAGTGCTAGGCAGATAAATGGGGAGGTGGGGAAATATGAACGCATTTCGCTCAAAGATCCAAAAGGGGTGGATGGAAGGGGTTTGAGTAGGGAAATAAAACCTCTTTCAGACTGTGCCATTTTTGTCAGTTGGAGATTCCTCTGCACCCAAATTAAAAGGTGGGAAGGCTGTAGATTTCTTCTGGCCTGCTTTAGCCATAAAGGCTGTGCTTACACTCTGGAGAAAAGTAGACTTTCAGCTGAAATGAAGTTTTGGAAAATGGAACTGGTTTGGAATTTTTAGGGTGTTCAAGATCTCTTTGAAGGAAGGCCCTGCACAGAAATGATCCCTTGTATTATTGAATAGCATAGGTGTGCTGAATTTACACTTGTATTACTGTGTGTCCCTTGGTTGTAGGACCGTGTGTACGTGCAACAAAATAATGTGGAGAATGTCTACAATTTGGGCTTGATTATTTTTCGAGATCAAGTTGTTCGTTATGGCTGTATTAGGGATCACCTGCGGCAAACTCTGCTGGATATGATTGCAAGGGAAAGGAAAGGAGAAGTTGTAGACAGGTAAGATGTTTGTAAGTGACTTCAGTTGTAAATACCTGTCAGTTTTTAAAGTGTGACTCAAGAACATACACAAAAATTCCTTACCTAAGGCTGCGTTTGTGCTGGAAACTAAAAGTTATCCATAATCTGGAACAACATATTTCTTTGTGTATGAAGTTTTATAATAATGGTAAATGGGGAAGGTCATTCATATTATTTTTTTAATATTTTAATATTTATCTTGTAGTTTTTATTAAAACTTTTGATAAATGTCTTCACCACCACCTTGTGCCAGAGCACTTGGTTATAAAGCAGAGTTTTGACACTTGTCTGCCTCTGCTCATGTATTTCCTCTGTATTGAGAGGCTGTTTTATTTTCTTGCACTTTTTTTATGTATTTATTTATGACATTTCCTCTTTTAGTCTATTTCCCTTCTTCATGTTTTGCTCCATCTGTTTCTTGCTAGTTCAGTTGCATCTCTGAGCTTTTAAATCTGTTGGCTTCTCTGGCCAGTTTTAGTAGGTGTTGAGTTTTGTGCCACACACTGCAGATAATGCAGCTGAAGGAACTTCAGATTTGCAAGTTTTCTTGTGCTTCTCCAGTTTCAGAACAGCTGCTGGGTGTGGGGATATGTAAACTCCATGCTGCTTTGGCTGCAGTTCTGTGACTGCGATTGCCCAACATGCAATTTACGAAGAGAAAAATACTCGTTGGCTGCAGCAGTGTATTGTCCCCTACTGCCAGAAAGTGGAATTTTTTCCTAGATGCAGTTCTTTTGTTTTCATTACCTTGCTGATGCATTTTAATTTTGGTGGAGTTTGTGTTCAGTTGGGGGTTTTTGGTTTGGTTTTTGTATTTTTATTTTTTTTTAAACAGCCAACCACCCAAAAGAAACCCAAACTGCACAACAACTTTTATGTGTAGAATGGTTTTTAATTTCTCAATTCCAACCTATATGTGCAGTTTTCTTCCAAGTAGTAAATTGGGCTATTTTCTTGTATGTTGAAATAGATTCTTCATAGTCTTACAAGTTAGTAGTACTTGAGATCTTCTTCCCTGTCATTGCACTTAAGGCATCTTATAAACATTGTCTTTAGTTTTGAACCAAACCAAACAATCTTGCACTTATAATATCCTTGAAAATGTGTCATGTACCAAACAGATTTAGAATGGACTTGCTATTACTATATTTAAGTTGCTATTACCTTATGAGTTGTTGTTGTGCTGTGTACTCTTGTCTTACAAACATGTAGATTTCTCAAGTTGTTAACAACTTACTTTTTGGCAGAGGCGCAATAAGAAATGCTTGCCAGATGTTAATGATTCTAGGTCTTGAAGGAAGGTCAGTCTATGAAGAAGACTTTGAGGCTCCATTTTTGGAGATGTCTGCAGAATTTTTTCAGGTACAGCACCGTTTTAATATCATGTTTGGAATGTTGGTGTAACTCCCTGGAATTGTGAGATTTGGTGGTGCTTTAAATACTTGTTGCTTGTTTGATGAGTCTGTCCCTCTCCATTAAATGAACTAAGAAAGGTAATTGCCAGCTTTACAGGAAAAAGTAATACGGAATTGACAGAATTAGCATAATTCGAATGTAGTTTTGAGCTCTGGGTGCCAATAACTTGTAAAGTAATCATCATGCTAATCTTTTGCCTGCTTGAGGCTATTTCATGCAGCTTAACCTACCCCTGCATTGCCCCCACAGTCTTTGAAATACCAGTAGCGTGAAAGGTTCAGACTCTTTCAGGCTGGGAAACCTGTCAATCTGCCTTTGAGGAAACTTTTTTTTTTCCTTCATAGTTTCTACATTTGTGAGTTGTGTTTTGTAATACTATGAACCAAGTCAAGGCATTAAGTGCTCTCTAGTTGCTGATCAGCCACCGAGTAACACACTTGAAATATTTCCTGAGGGGTTTTGTGAGATATGTGAGGAGGAAAGCCAGTTCAGTGCTTGTTGGGTGTAATCACCTTCATCTATTGCTGGAAATTGATAGACGTTGTAAAAGCCTGTTAAAAGATATCTAGATAAGGTAACTTGTCAGTCTCCCAGTTATGCTGGAGATTGACTCTGTCACATGCTCTGACCTCCAAACTCCTCTGAAAAGCAGAAGCATATGTTGCACAACCATTTAAATGTTCATTGTGTTCTGTTTTTCATTGGTGCTGCATAAAATTAAGATAAGAAAATAAAGCATCTTTCCTCCAAATGACTCTGCAGACTAGTCTGGATGAAAACAGTTTGACATGGGATAATGTGCTCGGCATTGTCACTAAAGAGAATAATGGGAACTGCCATAAACTGGTATTTGAAAGGAATTTTTGGCCCTTCTTTCCCCCCATCCTTTTGTTTTCTTTGGACCTGTGGCTAAAACTAGTTGGTAACTGGAAACTAGGTTGGCTTACGTTGTTTTAGTATGAAAAATACCTTGTTTATTTTGCATGTGCCCCCTTATGTAACACATCTGTGGAACAGAACCTTTATTTTGTGTTCTGTATGTAAATCTTGGGTGTATAATGTGTGGGACATGCTGTGTTTGATTTGAACTTGCTTTACATGCTGATCTGACATAACTGGTGTGTTTTCTTTTTCCCTAACTTAATAATTTGTGTCCATCACAGATGGAAAGTCAGAAGTTTTTAGCTGAAAACAGTGCTTCTGTATATATAAAGAAAGTAGAAGCTAGAATTAATGAAGAAATAGAACGGGTGATGCATTGTCTGGATAAATCAACAGAAGAACCCATTGTGAAGGTTGTTGAGAGGGAGCTTATTTCCAAGCACATGAAAACTATAGTGGAGATGGAGAACTCTGGGCTAGTTCATATGCTGAAAAATGGGAAGACAGAAGGTAAGATTGGTTCATCTGGGACACAGAAACACTGATGATGCTGATGATTGTTTTTAAATGTGGGATAAGTCAAGCTTAACGTTTGTGTTCCTGTGTAATTGTGAAAACACTTTGGGAGCTCTGGTTTGCAAACAGCTGAGAATATTACTTAAGTAACTTTTAGAGGGCTCTTAGAATAGAGCCCTTACACTTAAGTTGTTCCTATTTAATACCGTATATAGGTACATTTTGGTAAACCAAGTCTCTCCTAAGAAAAGTGCAAATCTATTGTAGTGGTCTTTGTTAAGAGTTTCCCATGAGCTATTTTATTACTTTCATTCCTCTAGTATGTATCTGTCAAAATGCATCAATGGAGTTTTTTTAGCCCATGGGCAGTTATTTAAAAAGTGCCTGTATAAAAGGTTGAAATAGAAGCATTGCAGGACCAATTCTTGGGGTGGGAGATTGTGGCAGAAAGGAGCTGGCTGGTTTTAAAGGATAAGAAGCAGCTGATTGAAGTGATGGGAAAAGAAGGGCTCAGGTTGATTTGGTTTTTGCTAATAGAGGTTAATGTGGGACAGAGAGACTGAATGAAAGTTACTATGGAAAGAAATAGAACAGAAGTTTCTAAAGCAGTAGAAGGGAGAGAGGGATTGTAGTATCTATATTTAGAAACTGGTGCTCATGCTAAAGCCACGAGAGTGGGAAACAGACTTGCTGCTCAGATTAATGGTCTTTGTTCATTAAAGCAGCTTCACCAGTGCTAGGTGATAGTCAGACCAGCAAAGTGAGCACATTTCCTAGCTGTAAGAGAATTACTGCCTTGCAGAGGAAAGCAATGGTACTATACTTAGCACTTTTTGCTTTAATTCCCAGCTTAGATAGCCTTTAGGCTGAGGGTACAAGGGTATTGAAGGGTATTTGTAAGATACAGGAATTAGTTTAACTTTATAGGCCTTGGTTTGATTCAGTTAAACAGTAGAGGGGAAATACTTGCTGCATTGTGAAGATAAGATTTTGCATAAATGTGCAAGGATGGATTGCTCTTTTGGAAAGTCATGTTTAGCCTAAGCCACTTCTCATTATTTTGGGTGCATGAAACATAGTTCAAAATTACATGACTGACTTTAAGACAAATATGAATTAAATTCCCAATTTTTACTACTTTTTAATACAGATAGAAGCATCTTATTAGTACTGTTCTATTTGCTTTAACTTAAATTTTCATTAAAACCTTTGCTGAAGTGTCTGATTTTTGGGGATGATAATCTTGGAGGTTAAATTCTTAAGTACCCCTGGGAAACATAATATTGCTGTAGCTTTAAGTTGCCTATCCTTTAGCATACACATCTTTTGCTGGCCCTGGGGATCAGCAATAACAGATTCCCTGCTACTGACAACCTGGAATATTGAATAGAACCTCTGCTTTCGTTTTGTGGCTGCTGCAGTCAGAATGGTGTTGGGGCTAAAGCAAAGGGGAGATGAGAAGATTCTAGTGCTGTCATGGGATGCCTTTTGTGGCTCAAGTGGCTGAACTTTGACTGTCATCTTTTGCTCTGAGGGAATGAGTTCCAGAAGTGTAACACACAGAGGTGTCCTGCATAATCTCTCGTTCTTGTTTCCAGACCTTGCTTGCATGTACAAGTTGTTTAGCCGTGTGCCAAACGGTCTGAAGACGATGTGCGAGTGCATGAGCTCATACCTGAGAGAGCAAGGCAAAGCACTAGTTTCTGAAGAGGGAGAAGGAAAGAATCCAGTTGACTACATTCAGGTAGTTAAATATTATAACTTTTCTGTCATCTTTCCCATGCTCCCCACAGTTAGGAGCTCACTGCATGATTTACAAGGTAAACCTTAATAATGATTCCAAAGGGATTGTTTTTATTAAGGTGGATCTGTTATTTTGATTTTTTTCATCTGAGTTTTCAGATGTGTTTAGAGCTCAAGTTGCTTGGAAACTACATGCTCAGTTTTTGTGCTTTTGGTAGCTGCTTCTATTCAACAGCATATTCAGGCTAATTATCTTAACTGCTGGGAACTTCCTGGATTACCCTAAATGAATTGTCCCCAGAGTGAGTTGTACATCTGCTGGCAAATAGCTTTATAGTGTCCATTTTGTTTGATTTTATGTAACATTAGCTATCAGTGTTTACTGAGACAAAAATCACATGGCAGTATTTCATGGCAATCTTAGCTGTGACTGAGAGGTGAATGTGTTTTATCAATCATAACAAATTACTCACTTCATTCTCAGTCTCCCTGAGAAACAGAACACTTCTGCATGCTGAAAGATGGGAGTGTTCATTCTTGTTCTCCATCTCTTGCTAAGTGATGTGTACCACTAATTTATCAACACCACAAAATAGGCTTTGAGAGTATTTGTTTTTCTCTTCTGTTGTCTCTGAGAAGATGGTTTGAAATTTGCTCATAAAATCTTTACAGGGTTCATTGAACTTCAAGGATATGTTTTTATTGCTGGAAGATGGTTTATATTTAATGTGAAAGTGTGTGTTCATCAAACAGGAGGTTTGAGGTTTTCTGGAAAGTGTAGGTCAAGTGTTTGTGTCTGTTCTTTGAGAAGCATTTAATGTTGTATGTCTATTAATTGTTGCAGGATCTCTGACTGTACTTCTGGTCTCCTCTAGGGCATCATCTGTTAATTATTTTCCAGCTTACCACTTCCTACTGAAAATGGGTTTGTTTTTCTTTTCTTTGCAGGGTTTACTGGACTTGAAGAGTAGGTTTGATCGCTTTCTTCAAGAATCTTTCAATAATGATCGACTCTTCAAACAGACTATTGCGGGTGACTTTGAGTATTTCCTCAACCTCAACTCCAGGTCTCCAGAGTACCTCTCATTATTTATTGACGACAAGCTGAAAAAGGGAGTCAAGGGAGTAAGTATAAATGAACTTAAAATATGTTCTTTGCTGGGTAAGCACTGATGAAATTAAACTAAGCTACTTCTGGAAGGATTATTTTTATACTAAGAGAAATGGCAACACTGCCTTAAAACAAAATGTGTGTGTAAGACATCTAAGCTCATAGCACTTCAGATATAAACTTAGGGAAAAATCAGGCACAAGATCTGTGTGGTTTGCGGCCTTTCTCTGTAGCAACATTACCTGAATTGCTGCTGGCAGATTCAGCAAAAAACAATTAGGTTGTAGTAGATTCTGCAGCTTCCTTTCTTCAAACCCTTAAATATGTCCTTAAATACATTTATATTTTGACAGCTATTCTCAGTATATATTAATTTCTTTTGAAAATTAACTTGATTAGGGCAAACCATTTGTCTTTGTTTATTTTTACTGGGTTTGCATATCAGAGGACTATTATCATATCTATGTTTTCTAGTTTTAAGTGCAACTGTTTCCTTCAGTCATACCTTGCTGCTTCCTTCATGTAAGTTTTTGAGGGACAGAGCCCAGAACTGGACAGGATGGTTCAGCTGAGGCCTCAGTGGCTCTGAATAAAGCTGAAGACTAGTGCATGCAACTTAGGAATTAGGAATGAAATAGCAAATTCTGTTTGTTTATAAAATAAGTGATCATTTTACTCGTTGTGGCTCTAGACAGGCTTTGCAAAACAAATCTTAGCTGTTAAAAGCTTTCGGTCTAAGCTGACTTTTCATACCCCTAATACTGATTTCCCTCAGTGCTTCTGAAAACTTACCCAGGAACTTTTTCTATATTTATCAAAGCATTCTACCCATTCCTTGTTTCCCTTCTCCCCTGCTATTGCCTTTCCCTTCACTTCAGATCTCTTTCTTACTCCACTTTACTGAGTTTGTGCACTGTTTTTTTGGCTCTGTTGATCACACTTTGGACCAGTTTTGTTGGCTCCTTTTAGGCTACTGTTAGACCATCTGCTCACTGTGAATTACTTTAAGTATTTAGGTTGTGTAAGACATTTGTGCTGGAAGATTAAAACCAGCAAATTACTTCTTTTACAGCTAACAGAACAAGAAGTAGAAACTATATTGGATAAGGCAATGGTTTTATTCAGGTTTATGCAAGAGAAAGATGTTTTTGAACGCTATTACAAGCAGCACTTGGCAAGAAGACTTCTCACCAACAAGAGTGTTTCAGATGACTCTGAGAAAAATATGATCTCCAAGTTAAAGGTAAGACAGTACCTGCACACCTTTTAGGGTTTTTTCTCTCTTATTTTTCATAAATGTGATTTATTCTGTGTTTTAATGTTATCTATGAATCTCTTATGTAATTTTGATTGCTGTTAAGTACAGAATTGATTTTTAAAGCCCCAAGAAAAAGTACTAAAGGCTTTTCCAAACAATTTTTTGGAAATAAAAGGAAGGAAATAGTGGAAAGCACCTGTGATGAGAGCACAATCTAGAAAGCAAAATCATTTTTTTCAAAATTTTTTAAGACTTTCCAAATAAGAGGACAACTGCAGTGACTGAATTTGAAGGCAAGGCTGTGTTTTATACTAGATTTTCTGTTACAGGAGAATCTGGTTATTGCTTGTGTTGTTGTTCTTTAGTTGCCTCCATCTTCAGACAGGTGATAATGCTCAGTTACTTTTTGATTAAGTAGTTTGAGATAGATTGAAAAAAATAATCTTTAGTATCTGAAAATAAATTTTCCTTAATTGGTTAAATGTACTGATTAAATAGGCAAAGAGATGGAGAAGAAAGTAAAGCTTAAAGCTGAACAGTCTTTGAAGCAAGTTCTAAAGCAGCTGCTGCTTAAGTGGTGTAAGTGGCTAGAGAACTTCTGAACCAGAGTGATTTGATCATAAAATCAAGCTTCACTGAGCCTCATCTTTGACCTTCACGTTCTATCAGTGAGCAAAGCCTGTTTGCATCAGGTTTCTCTGAATTGTCAGTATTCATTCCTTGCCTTTCCCCTCTCCACCACTTTTAGCCTGGTGGTTTAGAAGGCACAGGGCATACATTTGCAAGATGAATCAGAGGACCTGATCTGCCCTCAATTCTCAGGGAGTCGCACAGTGATCAGGATGCTGAAGCCAGCAGACTTAGTTTCACCATATATATCACAGTACGTGTTAGAGATGGGCACACGTTTCTGTGTGTGCAGCTGAATTGCATGTGCTTATGCACGTGGCTGTGTCCTGGTTCTCAAAAGGTTTAGTAATCTCACTGGGTAATCTGCAGTCAGCCTTTAAAATTAAACACTCCTAGGACAACAGGAGTTTTCTTGTGATATAAATAAAGTTTGTTTCCCTTTATAGTATCACTCTAAAAAAAAGCCCAAGTGAAAGTGTAGGTTGTGGTTTGATAAGCTTTCACGGATTTTTTTAAATATAAGTTGGAAAGCTAAAAAAGAAATTTAAAATAGGATAATGGAGAAAAGTGAAGGAAAGCAAGTTTTGATCTGTGCAGGGTTCAATCCTTGTATAGGACCTGAAACTTCTCTAAGATATGAATGTAATGCAAATAGATATCCCACTAACCAAATATACAGAAGTATAATTTTTGAGATTTAGAAGCTAACTCTTAGTCTTGCAGTTTGCCTATCAGTGATGGTACAACAAGTTATTTTGTGTATTTTCAGACTGAATGTGGATGTCAGTTCACATCTAAACTGGAAGGAATGTTCAGGGACATGAGCATCTCAAACACAACGATGGATGAGTTCAGGCAACATCTTCAGGCGACAGGGGTAAGAACGTGGGGTCTGTGTGCTTGTCCTTTTACTTCGGTACAAACCCTGGACTTAGCAAGGTTTGTGGTATTTTCATTTGTTACTATATGTGTGTGCAGAGAAGGATTTTGTAAACCTGTGCAAATTGCTTCGTTTACAGCGTTTGTTTTACAAACTGTGTTAGCCTTTCCCGAAATGCTCTGC